TGGGATCTGGGGTGCTTGGCTCCCACCAGGATGGGAAGCTCTGTGGTAGTCCCCAGGCAATCCCCAAGCACTGGAATGCAGGCCTTGATGAAGGGCCTGTTTTACCTGGTCCCTCCAGACCAACTGGTCCCATGGTCTCGTTGGTGGAAGCAAAGACCTGGAGTCTGTGGTGATTGGCTCCCACCGGAATAGGAGACTCTGTGACAGTCCCCTGGCACTGGAAGGCATGCCAGGATGCAGGGCCTTCTATTTATCACTCTTAATTCTTTGTCACTCTGTATTATTTTCTATGAACTGAGAAGCAGTTAAGAACATTCTGCCGATTTAATTTCTCCCATTGTAGGACCTGCATGCCATTCCAGTATTTAGAGTTGCATCCCCAGTTGGTCCCACTATACTTACATTGGTTTACCCCTATTCCTGCTTATAAGATCACCTCTACATATTTGAAGACAGAGAGTCCACATAAGAGAGAATACATTCTGGTTACATCCCTTTATCTGAAAATATCATTATTTCAGCCTTTTTAATAGCTCAGTAGAATTCTGCTGTATATATGTAACATATTTTCACCAGTTATTCATTAGATAAAGGATATTTATGTTGTATACATTTCTTAGCTATTTGAATACAGAAATAATAAACCTAGCTAGGGAACTATTTATGGATTAGCAAATAAAAGTCTTCTGTCATATACCAAGGAATAGTATATCTAGGCCATGTTACAAAATATTGTACACTATTTTCATAAATGATTGTAGCAGTTTGAAATCAAACTAGTAGTTAATGAGAGTTAGTTAGATTTTTTCCCTACTTATTCACTGATAATTATTCTCACCAGAATTTAGATTTTGGTTGTTTTCTCAATAGTTGCCATTCACCCTGACTGGAGTAAAATAGTATATGAAAGTAGTTTTAATGTTGATTTCCTTAATTTTTAAGATATTGATCAAATTATAAGACAATTCTTTGCTGTTTTAATTTCTTTTCTTGAGAACATTTCAGTCAGATATAACACCTAGTTTTCAATACATCCCAGTTTTTTAAAAATCAGCACAATTTTCTGATACTCATACTTTTTAAAAATGCTTTTCATATATTTTTATTTTACTTGTTTAATATGATATGCTTTCATCATTATTTTCAGCAACACCAACACCTTCCAGACTTTCCCCAAGTTTCTACTCACTCCAATTAATCCTCTATCTCTAAAAACAAAAGTACAAATAAACATTCAAAAAAACATCTAAATCAAAATTAAGAGGGTCTTCCTCAAGTAAATAACTTTGGAATTTTTTGTGTTCTCCAAATACAACCTAGTATGAGGGGTACATTACATTATGGTTGACCCAAACAGGGACAATTTATTGGAGACAACTGGCTTTGCCTTTCCTAGAAGGAATCAATTGGATATTGCTTCTCTGTTAGAAGTGTGGCTTTGTGTCTTGTTTCATTTCTCTTTGCTGACATTTTGTCTCGTTTGAACATATATAAGTATCCTGCATGCCATTATATGTGGACAAACCCTCTTGTGTCTGGAATTCTTTGCTTTTTTATGTCAACAAACAATTATGGTTCCTACAATTTATCCATCTTCTGGTTTTCATAGATATCATGAGTATATGGATTTTATGAAACATTCTATTGTGGAATGAGTGCTCCAAGTTTTTCTCTGAGCACACATTGTTTAGTTCTGAGCCTCTGTGTTAATTTCCATCAACTTCAAAATAGCTTTGCTGATGATATTTGAGCAATTCACTGAGCTATGGGTATAGCAATAGGTCATCAGGAGTTCTTTTATTTCCAAGATCATTTAGCAATATAATCCTAATAGATTTTTTCTGTAAGTCCATGACCTATGTAGAATCAGGATCTTGGCCTCATTATCAGTGTAAGATGTAAGATTCATCTAATGGAGTTGGACTTAAATTCAATTAAAATGTTAATTACTCATGTAACAGTTATCATATTATTGCACTAATATATTTTGAAGTTAGGACACTGTTCTAGGTCACATGATTTTTAGATATGTGAGACTGGGATTCCTTTTCTCCTGTATTGGGCAGAGTACATTCAGGTGCTAATAATGATAAACAGTTGATATGGTGATTCCTGTCGGGCATCGTCTCAGTTTTTCGTATTCATTACTATAAGTTAAGTTCTGTCTTCAGGAATAAGGTCTTACCATCAGTTTGTGGAAGGTAACCAATAGCATTGACAATAGCCTATAATGTTTTTTTGGTTATTCTCTGGGACTGCTTTGGTCAACAACTCACAAGATGTAACCAATTCTTGGTACTTGAGATTTTACTTAGTAGCATATGATTCATAGTTGGAACATCACCTCCCCTATACAACAAAATGCAAAATAAATTAAAGTAGCATATGTCCATATGACTTTTCAAAACATATTTTTAGTAAGCATAGGAAACACTAGTCATATATATATATATGTGTGTGTGTGTGTGTGTGTGTAGAGAATCATGTTATTATTTTATATTTACCTAAAATCACATACAATATACATGTATCTGTGTATATATTAACATGTATTTTAAAGATACTATGTCATTTATATTGATAATACTCATATGATTCTGCTGTGGACTACATAGGAAAATGCTAGTACCATGCATGATTAAACTCCTGTCAAGTTGTTGGTCGTGGTAGTTCAAGAGACCTCCAAAACAATATCACCTCTATCTGGCCTTGATTGTCTCACAGAACTTGAAGATATGCCTGTGTTGCAGAAGTCACAATACAATTCAGGTTCAGAATTGTGAAGAATTGAACTGAAACTTACCTAGTACCCATTCCATGAGGAATGACTTCAATAAAGTGAAAACCTGGAAATGGAAAGTAGCAGTCACTAAACCTATCCAACGTGAAATATGTAAACCACAGCAGTAACTGGACTGGCAAGACATTCACAATCGTGCAATAGTGGAACTTTCACTTTGGTCTCTGTAGGTGCTGTCTAATTGGACTTACCCTGGACTCAACAAGAGGGAAATCATGTGTGACACTGTACACGTTGTCAAATATTTGATCCAGGAGAGGGCAAAGATGCAAGATGAAAACATTCTAATGATTGTTTTGTGAACCAGTATTCTTTCTAACTCTTTTCTAAATGCCTATTTTTAGAGACACAGATAAACATAACTCTCAACACTCATAAAAGGAAGTTCTTTTTGCAATATATGGAGACTATCAAAAAGTACCACAACTGTACAAAATGCAGAGAATAATTGACTGAAATGTGCTCAACTCCAGCTTATACATCTGTAATACATCCCTTCAACCCAAGGTTTTGGAAAAAACAGAGAGGAGAGGACAGAATGTTCCCAGAGGCATAGGATCCCTGTTGATAAAATATATGCCCTAGATATGACAGGGAAATACACTATGAATTCAGAATATTATATTTACACAAAGGAATCATTAAGAGGGCACTAGTTTTTAATCCAATACAGATAGGGAAATTCTACATGGTCTTACCCTTAGTTGAAAGAACACAGCACATCAACAGCATTCAAAATAGAAAGAATCAGCTGCCTCAGAGGGTGAAATCACATCTATGCTGTTCATTCAAAAGTGCTTAGCTCAGGGTACATTCACATACACACAGAATTAAATGGACTCATAGAGTATATGTAAATGTTATTGAATACAGATAGCAATTAAACTAAATAACAGATCACATATATGGCAAAGTGAGGGAGGTATTTGAGGCTGAGAGGGAGAGTGGAATTCATATCGAATAGCTCAGGCACTATTGGATTCTCAAAAACAAACACCACTTTAACAAAAGCATTGTGCATTGCAACAATTTGTATTATCTCTGTAATTTTCTTCACATTTGAAACCAAACTGAAAAGTAAATTGTATTTAATACATTAAATTAGGCCCAATTTCTATGTCTAATATTTGTTATTGAGATTCTGGTTGAGGATCATGAACTCAGGCTCACAAATATTGCTTAATAATCTCTGAATGAGTTCAAAATTGCTTAATACAACAACTTTTAGCTGATTCTTGCAGTATCTATTACTATCTATTAGAAGCTAGTTGCACAATAAAGTATGGGGTATTAATGATTTGTCTTGTGTACACTCTTCACTTTACTGCTAAATATCTAAAGAGGTGCTATAACTTGAACAGTTTCCTAAGGATGTAATCCTAACATCATCCACAAAACTACTTTGCCATGTCATAGTACATTTGGTTTGAAAGAATACCATTATTTGCTCTAAGATTTGAGAAAGAAATTGCAGAAACACATGATAAATTTGTTACCCGAGATGAAGACACAGTCAGGTGCTTTAGGAGGGCAAACCTCCATATTGGATATCCAGTCACAAGTGCTCGGCTCTACATTCACATACACACAGATCTCACTGGACTCATTTTGATGTGTGTGTGTGTGTGTGTGTGTGTGTGTGTGTGTGTGTGTGTGACCTTATACACTCATCAGTGGAACCTAGAGAAGGGATCATAAATATTAGCAAGGGAAGGAGGCACTGAATGGGGAGAGTGAGATTAGGAGCCATCCTGTGCCCCTAAGGCACTATGATCTTATCATAAATGACAACTACTTTTATAATACAATTACATGTTAAAATTTTGTGTGATCTCTGCAATTTTAATGCACAATTCAAACCATTTTGAAAGCTAAATTACATTAGAAAATGTTTTGAATTTCCCCCCTATTTCTATGTCCTAGTCCTTGCTACTGAGTTTTTATTTTGGGGTCATGAACTCAGGCTCACAAATGCTATATAATGATCTCTGAATGAGTCCACAATTGCCTAATACAACAACCTTTGACTGGTTGTTACAAAATCTATTTCTCCCTATCAGTTGCTAGTTTTACAGTAAATCATGGAGTGTTAATCATTTCTTTTGTCTGCACTATAAATTTCACCCATTTAAGATTTGTTATAAGCTAAACAGTCAGCTACACCTGGATTCCTAATAGCACCCACAAAGAGGTCTTTGCCATGTCAGACTATGTTTGGTTTGAAGGAATACCTTTCCCTCCTATAGAGAGTCAAATAGTTGAAGAAGTTCGTCATAAGTTTCCATTCAGAGATGATGACACAATCATAGTGACTTACCCCAAATCAGGTAAGGAATATCAGTAAAAGATTTCCTAAGCTGTATGAAGAAGGTTAAGGCTTTGATTCTCATTCATTTGGGTGATAAATTTAGTGTTCTCTATATCTGATGGAAAAAACGTTTTGTGAGCATGGAAAGTTGTGAGGGAGTACATGTACACACAAACTAAGATGTCTAAACTGGTCTCTGTTGATGGAGGATAAGATAAGGTAAAAAACCAATGGCATTGGGTCCAAAGAAAAACCAAATGACATTGTGTCTCTGTGTGGAAGAGAGAGTGGAAGATGGAGGATAATAAGAATAAACAAAAGAAATGGCATCAAGATACATTGTGTGGATAAAAAATATGTGGAGGAGGGGACTCTGCCAGGTGGAAGAACTACCATGAACTGTATCTAGGCAATGGAAAGAATCACACAACACAAGAAACCAAAAAAGGCATGATGAGTGTTTTGGGGAGAGCTTTTAGATGGGTGGCAGAAGCACTTAACAGTAGATAAGTATGAGATTGCTGTGTAGCATGCATAATAAAAACCCAGAGACAGATATTGGGGTTCATGCTGAAGATTAGAACAGCAAAGCAGCCAGGTAGTTGTTTTTACCACTTCCAATGCTTTAATGAAGGTTCTGTCTTCCTTTTGACTGGAAACTGGATCTTTCATGAGACCCTTTGCTTTTTACTTATACACCTTGATATTGCTGGGTTTAAAATTATAAGCTCTGTTATTCTGTTAGATTGATTCACTCAAGTATGCCACTGGGTAGTCTGGGTCTAACAGAGATCCATTTACCTATTTCTCCTGGGTCCTGGGATTAAAGTTATATAGCACCTCTTTCTGACATCTATGGTTAAGTATTGTGGCTAGATTTACCACTTGATCCCAAGTCATGCTTTATTAATTGTAAACTATATATTGCCTCATTACTGACCTTAAATATTCAAAGCATGGAAAAGTCAAGGGGATTGTCAAGTACAAAAAAGATTCAGTCATAAGCCTAGAGTAAGATGCTAAAAAATATCCATTTGGCAAATGAGCATGCAAAGAGAAATACAAATGTGTGTGGTAACTAGATTCAACAGAATTTATTTACCTTAAAGTGAAGCAATGCTCATACATTCAGTTCAGCATGGGTATACATTATCAGCATTGTATTTAATAAAAGGAGCACTGCTCAGAAATATCTGAGATAGGTGAATTCCCTGCAGCAGAATGTAGAATTATGATGGCCCATGATGGAGTGATGTACAATAGGCAGGTAGAGTTTATTAAGTATAGAGTCTCATTTTTTACAATTTAAGCATTGGGAATGTAGAGCATGAATATACTTTGTACTTACACTATGTGGAACCTGTGAACACCATATGTTTGCGTGCTTGAAAGTAGCTGCACTATAAATTGTATGGGGATGTATTCTACTTGAAGCCTTTTCGCAAGTACTATTGAAGTGAGTTATCATATCTTTCCCTTCTTGTTCAGGAACTCACTGGATGATTGAGATTGTGTCCTTGATTCAGACCAAGGGGAATCCAGAGTGGGTCCAATCTGTGCCCATTTGGAAACGCTCACCCTGGATAGAATATGAACTAGGATATAAAATATTAATCAACAAAGAAGGACCACATCTGATCACCTCCCATCTCCCCTTCCATCTTTTTCCTAGGTCTTTCTTCAGTTCCAAAGCCAAGGTCAGTGTCCATTGGTTGAGAAATAGTAACAAAATGCTCACTGAACTTATTCTTCTAATATGAACCCTAGATCTCTACCTGAAATGCACTCTGATTGTGTAGGCTGTGGGAGGGAATCCGGGATTCTCCTGCACTAGGTGATGCTGTTGTATCCCATCCTCAGAGTACATCAGAGTACCAGAATGTCAAGCACCACATAGAGATCCTGGTCTGATGTATGAAATGAAGTTAAATATCAACAAGAACATTCAGGAAGCTATATATATATAGGTCAAGCAGAGTTTAAACACTCATGTACAGTGAATACTACACTTTTGATGTCATCAAAGTATATTAACTAGTTTTGGTTTTAAATAAATCCCATGGCTTTTGAGCAAATCACCCAAGGCAGAGTTACTCATGGGAAAGCAGCCAGAACAGCCACCAATGGTTTAGTCATGGACATTGCTCAAAGGGCTTGTGTAATTTGTACCCACTATGACTTATTTTTTCTAGCAGTCAATTGAAAACAGTAGTCAAAAGAATCACTTATATATAGCCCAAATAATTGTTTTTAGAAACCTCTTGGAAATTTGATTTAGATTTCATACAACTTGTGCTACTTGGAATATGGGGAATGACCATATTGACCTTCATGTACATGCTTTTTCCATTTAAGATGATATATGTCATCAGAAATCCCAGAGATGTTCTTGTGTCTGGTTATTATTTCTGGAGTAAGTCAAACTTTGCCAAGATTCCAGATTCAATGACAACTTATGTTGACTGGTTCCTCAAAGGAAATGGTGAGTGTCTTATTTAATATAGGTGTTTGGGAAGACCTTTTTAAGACATTTCTCATATTATAAGGTGAAATGTAGCTTAGGCTGGTGTTGATCAATCTATAGAGTCAGGGATGACCTTGAAGATCTTCTTATTCTGAATCTCCCTCTTGAGTTCTTGGACTCCAAATACCTACTATCATGTCATGTTAACTTAATGTGGGGGCTCAAGCTCATAAATCAAGAATGTTATCTAACTTGGATATATTCCAGGATTTAATATATTCTGTAGTCTTCCACTATCTCTCTACATTCGACCAGTCTGTGGCTCCAAGGATCATCACGATTTTCAATATAATATTGAAATCGTAGTATTCTCACACACCATTGCATAACAGAGCAAAGCCACAGATTGCCCCTTGACATACCATCCTGACAACAATGTTTCATCTGGTCTTCCCAGTAATCATTTGTGGGTGTTAAATGAAAAATTCTTAAAAATGACACTAAAATTTGAACACTTTATTCCTACTTGGTGACACTGTTTCAGAAGGTTTATGAGGCACAACACTCTAAGAAGAAGTGTATCATTGTGTGTGGGCTTTGGGGATTTTAAAATTATTTTTAATTAGATTTATGCATTTATTTTATACTCCGACCACAGTTTACCCTCCTGCTTCTCATCCCATTCCTTCTTCCCACCTTTCTCTATACACCACTCCTATTTCTTCCATCTGTTTCAGTTCACAAAGGGGCAGGCCTAAGCATAGGTGTCAACAAAGCATGGCATATCAAGTTCAAGTAAGACTACTTTTCTCTGTTTGCATTAAGTCTGGTCAATGAAACACATTATGAGCAATAGCTTTCCAAATAAATATTAATTAAAGCAATATATGCAGGTCTTGTTTCCACCACTAGGAGTCCTACAAGTAGATGAAGTTATACAACCATCACACTCTGTGGAGAACCTAAGTCAGGTCTATGCAGTCTTCCTAGCACTCAGTCCAGTGGCTTTTAGCTCCTATGTTCCCATGCAAGTTGTTTTTGTGAGATGACCTTGACCCATGTGGATCACCCAATCATTTATCTTGCCCTTCAAAGTTTGTTCTTCTGCTAGGCCCAGTGCTTGGTTGTGAGTCTCCATATCTTTTTCATTCAGCCACAGGATGAAGGCTCTCTGTTGAAAATGTGGGCATTTCCAATGTGATTTCAGGAGATGGACAGTTAAGGCTGTCTATGCACTATTTGTCTTAGCTTGTGCCATCCTTGTACATTCCTGAGAATTTTCTTTGCACCAGGTTTCTACCTGACCACAAAATGCCCCCATCAAGATATTTTTTCATTCTATGCCCCCAACATAATCTGTCATGTCCCATCCACACCACCACCCAGTCAAACCAAGAAATCTATTTCATTTTCCTTTACCAGACATAACCATGGATCCCTATCCTCCTTTGGGCACTCCTTGTTATCTAACCTCTCTGAGGATATGGATTATAGCATGGTATACTTTACTGTACATTTAGTATCCACTTATGAATGAGTACATATCTTGGTTGCCTATCTTCATCTGGGTTAACTCACTCAGGACAATTTTTTCCTAGTACCATTTTATTTCAAATCTCCTAATGTCACTGTTTTTAACAGTTGAGTAGTACTCCATTGTGTAAATGTACCTTGTTTTCTTTACCCATTCTTTGGTTGAGGGGCCCATAAGTTGTTGGCATATTCTGGCTATTATGGAAAACACTGCTGTGTACATAGTGAGGAAGGGGAGGGTGGTGAGAGGGAGAATTGTAGTTGGATTGTAAAATGAAATTAAAAAATTAAAAAAGGGAAAAAAGGAAACATTAGTTGTGATTCTATCTCAAAATGGACTTCCTACTTGTTTCTCAACTAGTTTAAGAGATTTTGGTCTTCTATTGAGGTTCTTGATGCATTTGGGATTACAATGAATTTCAGTACCTGACTCTCTGTGTCTCTGTGTCTCTGTGTCTCTGTGTCTCTGTCTCTGTCTCTGTCTCTCTCTCTCTGTCTCTCTCTCTCCCTCTCTCTCTGTGTGTGTGTGTGTGTGTGTGCATGTGTATGATGAGTGACTAAGGTCTCAATGAATTCTACTAATCATATTCAGTGTCCAAAGCACCATTTACTAAAGACCTTGTCTTACTTCCAGTGTATAAATTTGGCACTTTGTAAAAAATCTTGTGTCTGCAGTTACATGAACTTGTGTCTTGGTTTTCTTTTTTCCTGTTTTATTTAATTTAAATCAGAATCATGCTTGATCCTTCTCACTCACCTCCTCCCCAGCTCCCCCCCAAGTCACCCAACCCTGCACCCAATCCAAAATCCACTCTACATCAAGGGTGAGGCCCTTCATGGGACATCTTGTAAGTCTGCCATATCATCCTCTCAGAAGGGGGTAGGCCCTCCCCGAAGTGTCCACTTGAGAGAACATCCCTCCATGTTGTGTGGGCTTCCAAAGTCCATGTGGATGTCAGGGATAAATATTGATTTGTTTTCTGAGGCCCCTAAGATTGCCAAGACATCCTCACTGACACCCACGTTCAGGGGGTCTGGATCAGTCCATGCTGGCATCTCAGATATGAGTCTGGGATTCATGAGCTCCACCTTGTTCAGGTTAGCTCTTTCTGTGGGTTTCACCAGCCTGGGATTGACCCTTTTCCTCATCACTCCTCCATATCTACAACTGGTTTCCAGTAGTTCAGCTCAGTGTTTAGCTGTGGGTGTCTGTATCTGCTTCCATAATCCACTGGATGGAGGCTATAGGATGACACACAATTTAGTCATCAGTCACATTATCAGGGAAGAGCATTTTAGGTAGCCTCTCCACTGCTTATTAGATTGCCAGATGGTTTAATCTTGTAGATCTCTGGAAATATCACTAGTGCCAAATCTCACTTCAAACCTATAGTGGCTCTCTCTTTTACAGTATCTCTCACCCTGCTCCCCTCTTTTCTTCCCTCGACTCAAACTTCTTGCTCCCCCATATCCACTTATCCTCTCCCCTTTGATCTCTCTCTTTCTTCTAGTCCCTCTCACCTTCCTCATGTTCCCATTCCTCTCAGGAGATCCTGTACCATTCCCCTTCTCTCAGGTACCATGCATATCTCTCTTAGGGTCCTCCTTGTTTCCCAGACTCTCTGGTGGTGGGATTGTAAGCTGGCAATCACCTGTTTCATGTCTAAAATCCATACATGAGTGAGTACATACCGTGTTTGTCTTTTCGTGACTGGGTTACCTCACTTAGGATGGCTTTTTGTAGTGTCATTCATTTGCCTGCAAATTTAAGGATTCCATTGTTTTGTTCTCTGCTGAGTATTACTCCATTGTGTAAATGTACCACATTTTCTCTATCCACTCTTCACTTGAATGGCATCTAGGTTGCTTTCAGATTCTGGCTATTACAAATAATCTGTTATGAACATAGTTGAACAGATGACCTTGTTGTGCATCATTTGGATATATGCCTAAGAGTGGAAGTTCTGGATCTTGTGGTAGGCTGATTTCCATTTTCCTGAGAAATCTCCATACTGTTTTCCAAAGTAGGTGTATGAGTTTGCACTCCCATCAGTAGTGGAAGAGTGTTCCCCATTCTACCAGCATACATTGCCATTGCTGTTTTTGATTTTAGCCATTCTGATGGCAGTGAGATGGCATCTCAGATTTCTTTTGGGTTGCATTTCCATTATGGCTAGGGATGTCAAGCACTTTCTCAAGTGTTTCTCAGCTATTTTAGACTCCTCAATTGAGAATTCTCTATTTAGTTCTGTAGCCCACTTTTTAATTGTTTCCTTTTGTGTTTTGGATACTTGCTTCTTGAGTTCATTTTAAATTTTGGAGATCATCCCCTTGTCTAATGTGGGGCTAGTGAATATCTGTTCCCATTCTGTGGGCTGCCTTTTTGTCTTGTTGACTATGTACTTTACCTTTCAGAAGCTTCTCAGTTTCAGGAGGTCCCATTAATTGTCAAACTTAGCATCTGTACTACTGGTGATATTTTCAGGAAGTGGTCTCCTGTACCAACTCATTCAAAGGTACTTCCCACTTTCTCTTCTAAGATATGCAGGTGTGGCAGGATTTATATTGAGGTCTTTGATCAATTTGGACTTAAGTTTTATGCATGGTAATACATATGAATCTAAATGCAGTCTCATGCCTATATCCAGTTATGCCAGTAGCATTTGTTGAAAATGCTATCATTTTCCATTGTATAATTTTAACTTCTTTGTCAAAAATCAAGTGTTCCTATGTGTTTGTGTTTACATCAATGTTTTCCACTCGATTCCATTGGTCTATCTGTATATTTTTGTGACAATATGGAGCTGTTTTCAGGACTATAGCTTAATAATAGAGCCTGAAGTCAGGGATGGTGATGCCTCTGGAAGTTTCTTTATGTTGCAGGTTGTTTTGCCTATCCTGGGTCTTTTGTTTTTCCATATAAAGTTGATTATTGTTCTTTCAAAGTCTGTGAAGAATTTTGCTGGTATTTTGATGGTAATTGGGAATTGCATTGAATCTGTCTGCTTTTGGCAAGACTTCAATTTTTACTGTGTTGATCATACCTATCCAAGAGGATGGGAGGTCTTTCCATTTTGTGGTATCTTCTTTAATTTATGTCATTATATACTCAAAGTTCTTGCTATACACATCTTTTACTTGTTTGCTTAGTGTTATCTCCAGATATTTTATGTTGTTTGGGGATATTGTAAAGGATGATGTTTCTCTGATTTCTTTCTCAGCTCATTTGTCATCTGTGTATAATAGGGCTATTGATTTTCTTGAGTTAATCTTGTATCTTGACATTGGTGAAGGTGTTTATCAGCTTTAGGTGTTCCCATGTAGAATTTTTTGAGTCACTTTCAAATCATCTGCATATAGTGAAAGTTTGACTTCTTCAATTCCAATTTGTATCCCCTTGTTCTCTTTATGTTGTCTTATTGCTTTAGATAGATCTTCAAGTACAATATTGAAGAGATATAGAAAGAGTAGACAGCCTTGTCATATTCCTGATTTTTGAGGAATTGCATTGCATTTCTCTCCATTTAGTTTGATTTTAGCTGTTGGTTTCCTGTATGTTGCTTTCATTATGTTCAATTATGTTCCTGTTATCCCCAATCTCTCCAGAACTTGTATCATGAAGCGGTGTTGGATTTTTTGGGGGGTGTTAATGAGACAGGGTTTCTCTGTATTGTTTTGGGGGCTGTCG